TAGAGATTTAAGAGTAGACTTCCCTTAACAGCTTCTTTGTACCATCATTAAGGAAAGATATCATCCCCAAAATTGATTGTCTCTGTTGAAAATGGAAGAAATATAACACTAAATTGGATTCATCTCCATGGTGAATCAATTTGGTATTGATTATTTCTTAATGGGATTATTTTTTATTTTTTTAAGATATTTAAAACTTTGGAAATAATCAATTTTATTTCTAAGGGTATATTTGTAATTTTCCATATCTTTCTTATCTATAGTTACACTTTAATAAATATTGATTTGGTGAGTTCACTAATCATTCTTAAATTTTCTTAAAAGTCAAATCAGTGGTTTTAATTATCTGGTTAAAGTTGTTTTATTTCTACTTGAGTGCAATTTTTGTTGATTAGGTGGATTATAAAATTATCCTTTCATGTAATTTAATTTTTTTTAACCTGTTAATCATCTTAGTTAATTAAAATTTAAGCTTATTAAATCCTTTTTAAGGTTTTTAATTTTTACCATTTCTTCTTCAATTATATATTTATAAACAAAGGGACCAATACACAAAGTTTCAAATTACAAATTCGCCTTCCATAGGCTGTAGGGAATTTTTAATTTCAAGATGTTGGAATTATTAATTTCAACTAATAATTTCAATGATTTTAATTTAATTTTTAATTTTCAATTTTCAATTAATTTTATACTTTTTTAATTTCTATTTTAATTGTTATATTTATTTTCCTAATTAATTATTGTTTTTATTAAAAATTACGATTTCAATACTTAAGGGTGGTCTCTATCATTGAAAAATTTTGGGAACATCCCCAAGGATAGAGAGCACAATCCCATTGAATTCCATTAATTTTTATTGTAATTTTTTTTATAATTTATTGATTGTTTAAGAGTTTTAATTATTTATAAAAATTACCATAGGTCAATTTGCTTGGATTTTTTTCTTTGATTCACCTCTATTTACTGAACAATCGGCTCTTTATTTCATAATATTTTATCTGTATTTAATTAATTATTAATTTTAAAGTTTTAGTCATTATTTAGGACTTAATTAATTCATAAAACCCCTTATTTATCTATTTATTCGACGTGGAGCCAACACATACTTGGCAACTCCTAAGTTCCATGCATCGTTCCACAATTGACTGTGTTGTCCAAGCAGGCCATTGAGGTGACAAGGATAGACTAATTTGCTTCTCCACTTTTTCAACATATGGTTCGATTAGTGTCATTCATTTCAATTAAAGAAGGTCAAAAGACCTTCCATCATCATCCAAAATGCATCGAAGCGCATGAACTGCACGCTTCCTAAGGTTAAGATCTCGTCATCTAAATCATGAAATTTGATAGTGATTGGTCTTGAAGCTTCATCTAACCTTAATGAACCTATCCATATGGCTAATTCAACATGAATTTAAGATATCTTTCATAAAGCACTAAATTGAAAGCAAATTTAAGGAATTTATGCCATTACCAGAGTCCAATAGGGGAGATCTAAATTAGATGGGATGAGAAGCTTTGCCTTGGATATGTGCACCTCCTCCAAGCTCCAATGTAAGCTGAAATTGTATCCATGTATGGGCTAGACCAAATGATGGCTTGAGTTGGTGTTACGATAGGTTATCGGGTGTGAGATAGGGGGAGTTTGATTGGGGAAAAGCTGTTAGACCTCTGGGAAGCTAATGAGAGGGTTGGTTTTTAGTTTGGAGAGGTTTGCATGAATGCATTAAAAATCCCTAGTGCGACTTGATAAAATTAGGGTGGTGTGCTCGAGGAGAGGGCTTAGAAATGGTGGGGATGAGTCACTTGTGTCATTATCTTGAAGTTTGGTAACAAAAGCTTAGAGTTTTGCGAAGGGGATTGAGAGTTAGGGTTTCTTGGAGTGTTGTCAGGTTAGGGCCTCTTATGGCCATGGGAAGCCATGGGTTGGGCAAGACTCGAGGATACTTTGTAAATCCTCTAGGAGCTTGTAAGCGCTTAGGAAGAGCTTTATCAGTAGCTTCGGATAGAGGAAGTGAAACTTTGCTTTTTTTGATTTTTTGAGCAAAGGAGCTTCAATAGCCATGGAGGTGGCATGGGAGAGGCTTAGGGTGATTGGGGAGTGTCGGGTTTTGGTGGCTAAGTCTGGTCTTTGTCTTCTAAGGATTATGCTTGGGTTTAGTTGGCATATGTGAAACTTGTGAGGACTCCCCTTTGGCATGATGGACTTTGTCTTTTACTACTTAGATTTTGGCTTGTTTTAGTTTATCTTATTTTAATTTGTTTCATCGCTTAATGGGTTAATAGGTCATGGGCTAGGTTATGTGTTATGAGCTTGGCTTTACGGTTTTTTATTTTGATTTTTGTCTCTTGAGCTTTTGATTATGGTCTAATTTTAACTAGGGTTTGGGCTTTGAGAGTTTAGTTAATTTGTTAATTAATTGGTCATCTTAATTTCTTAAGCACATTTATCCAATTTTAATTTTTTTTTTTAATTTTTTTTTTAGGTTGATTTAGTTTTGGCCTTATTTAATGAGTTATAGTCTTTGCAGATTTTAATCAATGTTTAGGATTAGGGTTTGGAATTTTAATTAAGGTTTCAATTTTTATTTAATGTATTTGATGAATTTTGGTTATCTTTCATTTTAATTTTGCTTAGGGTATATTGAAATTTTATAGTGTTAGGGTTGACTTGACCTTTGTTGATTTAGTAATTAGTGGATGCATTTTATTATTTCCTTATATTTTAAGTTTGGTTGATTTAATTTTGGTGTTTTGTTTCAATTGATGGTTTGGTGACTTAGATTTTATTTATTTTAGTCTTAATTAATGATTTTAGTAAGTGTATATTTCAAATTTCCCCTTAGTTATGGCTTGGTGACTTTGAGAATTCAATTTTTGGCTTTTATCAAGTGCTAGGTTTTGGCTCAACAGCTAGCCTTATGCCCAATAGGCCTCTTTTTAAATTAAAGGAAAAGGTTCAAGGTTTTGGGGGTGCAAAGTGGGCTACCAAAAGAAGACCAAAGTCCTTGGGGTTAAAGGGTTACTTAGGGAACTTCTACCTTATGAGAACACAACTTAGGGTTTAATGATTAAACCCTAATTTTCTCAACCAATGGTTGAGGATTTGAAGCCCAACATATTAAACCCTAAAGATTGATAATTTGTTTAGATATTTATAATTCTTTTGGTCCCATCACTAAACATGTAAGAGAGCCACTAAGAAAATTTTAAGGCTAGATCTTAGGCTCCTAGACAGATAGACCTCGTTCAAAAATGAGGTCAACATGGTTCATTAATTATAGCTTCATTAACGATAACTTTATTATGAGATGTTCGATCAGCCATTCATTTTTCCTATCAATTATTAAAATATTTAACAATTGTAGAAGAAATAACTTTAGAAGAAGTAATGAGTACAGAAATTGTCACTATAACTTCTTGAAGTTTCACATTATGTGGCTCAACACTCTCATTAATTTCACCATTTTCAATGAACCTAAAATTAGTTGTTTCAATTTTTTTTTACTAAGGTTAGGATAATGAAATCTAATCCCTTTAGATTTTTCTAGATCATCAATAAAATATTTACTAATTGATCTTGAATATAATTTCTTTTCATGTGGATTATAAATTTTTACTTTTGTTAGGCAACCCTAAATGTGAAGTTGCCTTTAACTAAGTTTTCTTAATGTCTATAGCTCAAAAAAAGTTTTTGGAACTGCCTTACTAAGAACCATGTTTAATAAATACGTAGCAGTTTCTAAAGAATACATCCACAATGATAAGGGTAAATAAAAGCAACTCAACATACTCATAATATTATTCATCAAAGCGTGATTATGTCTTTCTAAGACATCATTTTTTTGTGGTAACCCTGCAATTGTCTATTGAGCACATATGTCATACTTTTTTTTAGAAATTTCTAAATGGACAAGAGCTTTATCCAAATTCACTATTTTTCATAATATTCAACACCTCAATCGTACCTAATAATTTTCACTTTTATATCTAATAGGCTTTCATCCTCATTAAAAGAATAACTTTAAGGCATCTAGTGATTAAGATTTTTCATGCAAAAGATAGACATAGCCATAACGTGAAAAATCGTAAATAAAGGTAATACCAATTTTTTTCTTTACCAAAAGATGAAATATTGAAAGGACCACATAAATCAGTGTATAATTTCTAGAAGTTCTATGGTTCTTGTGGGGCATTTTATAATTGTGTTTTTCATGTATTTTCTCTTAATAAAATCCACACATATACCAAGATTGGTAAAATCTAAATCAAGAAGAATTGTCCATTCCAAATCAAAATCTTGTAAACCGCATAAGAAATCTTTCACTCGCTTTCATCCCATAGTTTTAATCTTACAACAGTATTTAACATTTTCATACTATACTTACGCATTGTATGATACCCATCAAACTTAATTGCTGTCACCAATACTCATTAGTCCCAATAAGTGACTTATCAATAGGATCCAACTAAGACAAGTCTTCAACAAACTTCATAAATTGCTTAGCACTATTAGTTTTTGGAATTATTGGTTTAATGATGTCAGTTATAGTCATCCACATAAACATGAAGCTAAGCTTATTTGATCATTCCCAAGTATTATGGAGAACTTTGTTTAGAGCTTTTAGTATCAACGGGCAACAAGTAGTGCCAAAGCAATATTTAGAAAACTTAAATGCAATTGAATTTATTCGCTTCATTCATTAAAATTAAACCCATTAGACTTTCTAATAGACAAAGATTGTGATTGAAGAGCAAGAATTGTAGATGTTACAAAATAGATATAAAACACTCATACATGAATATATTGAATTATAAATTTAAATACATAACACTATTTGAGATGATATTTATATTCTTAAATGCATATTAAGTTCTTTGGGTGAAACAACAATATACAAATATAAAACATAATTGCTGACCAAATTTTCATGAAGGCAAATCAATCTCAAAACTTAAAAATAGCTTTTAACATTTTACCAAACTGAGGCACTCAAGGATAACAATACTAGATAACATAATCTGAGCTGAACACATACATCACTCTACTAATATGCTCAGACATTCAGTTTTCAATAAACAAAAAAATTATACCAATGCGTAACGGCTACCAGCAGCTAAAGAGAGATCAACAAACCAAGACTAATCAGGTAAATCTGAACGATTTGTTGCAAACAAGAAGAAAAGAATTCTTTTCTTTCCCTTCAAAAATAGAATAAAACCACAATGCCAAGGCAAATTTTAAAATGAAATATACAGACAATCACACTGCAACAACGTTCCCACCAATTCCCAACTTCTGAATCAAACTAAGGTACCGATTCACCGGCCTTCATGGAGGTCTTCCGAGAATACTGCTGCCCTCGAAATGTTCTCATTATCAAACATGCTCAATCCAGAGAAGGGTCCGGACGAGAACATTGACGAAGTACCATCAGATTCATAGGTGGTGGATGATTGCCTTACATTTGGACGAGCCGAGGGAGTTGGCATGGTGTCCTGGTACTCTGCTAGACGCTGGACCATCTTCAGGGACTGAACTACCTCACCCATCGTAGGCCTTTGGTTAACCTCAGGCGCAACACAAGCTGCTGCTATAGTGCAAACCCTCACAAAATCTTCCATTGGGTACCTGCCCTTAAGTTTTGGATCAGCGAGCTCTTCCAATCTATCTTTGTCCCGAAGAATTGGCCTAGCCTAGGTTAAATAAAACACAGAAACAATCAAATATTGATAGTAATGTTACCAAAGAAGTGATGGGCACAGGAGAGAGATACCAACCCAAGTCACCAGATTCTCCTGGCCCGATGGCTGCGACATATCGACAGGCCTCCTTCCGGTTAGCAACTCGAGCAAAACAACCCCATAACTATATACATCACTCTTCACCAATAAATGCCCAGTCATGGCATATTCAGGTGCTACATACCTAGAAGAAAGCTCGGCCTTACAGTTGATGAACACAAAGAAGGCAACAAAAAAATTATATATATATATATATCTATATATGTTGATACTTATAGAGAAGTGTTCGCTACCATACCCAAATGTTCCCATCACACGAGTTGAGAGGTAGTTTGCACGGCCTTCGGGGGCCTGCTTGGCAAGACCAAAGTCCGAAACCTTTGCATGGAAGTTGTTCTCAAGCAGTATATTGGAAGCCTTAAAATCCCGGTGGATGACAGAAGGCTGGGAATCCTCATGAAGATAGGCTAGTCCCCTGGCAGAATCAAGAGCAATCTTCATTCGTGTGTCCCAGTCCAAAGGACAGTTTGCACCCAAGGGACCTAAAAATGAAAAGATAATAATAATACAGTAAATCATAAAAAGTTCTTTTTTTTTCTTTGCTTTAAACCAATTCGCTTTAGGGAAATAATACCATGGAGCCAAGCTTCTAGGCTGCCATTAGAAACAAGTTCATAACAAAGCAGGTTCTGCGAAGAGTTTCGGCTACTAAAATAACCAACAAGTTTTACTAAATTGCGGTGATGCAGCCTGCTTAACATCTCAACCTCAACTAAGAATTCTTTGTCCCCCTGATGTCCTCCGTTGTTAAGCTTCTTAATGGCAACTGCCGTCCCATCACTCAAGACACCCTTGAAAACACGGCCAAATCCACCCTCTCCAAGCACACTTGAGAGTTCAAAGTTGTTTGTTGCTTCTTTAAGCTCTTCATATGCAAGAAAACGCATGCTGGTTGGATGAGGAAGAGAACCTTCTCCAGCTGTGGAGTCCACAGAAGACTTCAGTATTGCTGCAAAATTAGATACACAATTAGAAACTAAAGAATGCAAACTCACATGCCTTGGTTTTAAAAGGATTACATCAGTGCAATCTTAAATTTTTAATGAAAATAAATATATAAGAAAATATGAATTAAATACTTGATCAACTAGTGCATAATGATATAAGTATGAGTATTCATGTTGCAATTAAAAACAAAACCTTGCATTGGTTTTCATTGAGGAAAAAAAATCAGAGTATTCATGTTGCAATTAAAAACAGAACCTTGCATTGGTTTTCATTGAGGAAAAAAAATCAAAATGGGCCCTAGAATATTTGTATGGAGCCGTTTTAGCCTCAGTTATATAATGTATTCAATTTAGTCCTCAGATATGATCCAAAATAGCAGTGTCAGATTATTTATATAAAATTTAAAAAGCCAAGAAATTATTTTGAATTAAAATTTAGAAAAAAGAGACTAAATTAGACACATTAAATATTTTGTGGTAAAACGACTCTCTCATAAATAGTTTCCTTTTTACCTGTAAATGAAGATTAAAAGAAACAAGAACATTGGAGTAATTTGCATTTAAAATATTATTAGGGTAATAAATATGGCACCTTATTGAAAGAGACCAATAATTCAGCACTCAACGTAACTTCATAAGTCCCATCATCACCTCTCATTACAAATGAGATAATGTTTCTTGCCCATCAGAATCGAGAATCACATTTCATGTTTCAATTTGCTATAACCATTCGGAAAAATCTATGAACAACACATAATTTAGATTATCATCCTTCCCAACAAAGTTTCACACTTTCACCAAACCTTGCTCAGTGGTATAAAAAGAACTGAGATAATGAGTGGAAGAGAAGCAAAATAACCTACAATGGTCATCGGCACATCACTTCTATTCTGTGTCCAGTGGACTACCGAACCCCTAATTTAAGTTTATTACTACTCGGTTGATCAAAACATTACGGTTAGAAAATTTTTGAGTTGAAAAAAATATATATATCAAATTTCTAGAATATTCAAAAACATTCCAAAAGAAGAATATCCCATGAATTTTCTACAGATGCCAACATTGAAAATTGCATAAAATGTCAAGGGATAATGCATGGCTGGTCACATCTTTAGTATTTATTTTGCCTACGCAAACTATTATATTTAAACGGTAATGTTTCAAATTATTGTTTATATGCATAATTGTCAACTAAAAAATAAAACTAAGGCTTAAAGAAACATGGATCCATAGCACATAGCATGGCACTGTGTGCGTTATTTTAAATATGGCGTAAAAGATAAAAAAATTATGAATTAAAAGTTCAGCTAAACAGAAATAACATGCAAATTGAAAGATAAATCGTCATGACAATAAAAACAATCAAACTTATGCTTAAGTTGAAAAGCTCGATACTATTAACTTTCAACCCCACCATTAAAAAAAAAAAAAAAAAAAACTCAAAAGCTCAATACCTCAAACATCTTAAATCCAAACTATTAAAATTTTTACAGGTCGAATTTTATTTAAAGAAATTAAACCAATCATATTGGGAAGCATCATCAAGCATCACAATTTCGAAAAAAAGCCTGATTTCCTTTCATTGGCATCGTCCTGATCTCCTACATCACAATCTTCTTCATCACGATCATTGTTCCTTAATGCAATAACAACAATGCTGGACCAAGATAAAAATACTGTCTTCAAATATTTAGTTCATTTTATAAACACTAACGATGTTGCAGCAGTACCCCATGTCAAATTTTTCTCACCAATAACTAATTCATTATCATCCACTCATTAATTATGTTGTTAACCATTCAGTATAATTTATATCATTTATGGTGATCACGTACAAATCTTTATGATGATTATAATCCATCTTTTTCATTTGCCATGAAGTTGTAATTAACAAACCAGAAAAAGCCAAACGACATGAGAAAGGAAACTGAGCATGATGCGAGGCTTGCAAGACAGGATAGAGCTTAATAGAAACTAAAAACTTAAAAATAAATAATATAAATATTAATTTATAATTGTAGATTTTTGAGAGAGAGAAATAATCATTTCTCATCAATTTCATAAGAAACAATTACAAAATAAATAGAAGGGATGACTCCCACATTAAGAAAACTAAAAAATCAGCATATGTCCCCATGCTAAAAAAAAGAAAACAAGAATTATAATAATACCAACGATACTAAAATCTAAAATAGAAAGTACTAAAATAGAATATACTAAAAATAAAATCTTCCTAAAATTCAAATAATAATCTTAAATCATTTAAATTAAAATATAGTTATTGGGGTTATGCGCATGCGCTATTTGTTTTAGCATCACACAAATAGTCGTGCTCGTTTGACTCTCTTCACCATAATGTGAAAATGACATAGAAAGTGCAATGTGCTAGACTTAGCACCATAACGCGCTTTATTTTATGTTATTGACATAAGTTGATATTTAGGCACAATTGAATTAAAATAAGATTAGCTTTATTTCTTATTTTAATTGGCTTATTAATTGAGGATATATACCCTATTTCTAAAAGTCAATTAGTTTATAAACTTTTTTTTTAAGTATTCAATAACAAATAAAATTCTGACTTATATTTTTTATTAATCCTTTCACTCCCACCAAATTTTCACATTAATTTACTAAAATTTTATTTTTGTCTCATATCATAATTTTAGTCAACCCACACATAACTGTGGTGTGGTATTTTCTCTCCAAACTAGTGGCCATGCATCCCGAGAGACTCCATCCAATATATCTAATACCAGAGTTAACCCAAACTACAAGAGAATAAGAAAATATTGTTGTTAAAATGCAAACAAATTACAAGAGCGACTCTTCAAACCGAAAATATATGAATACAAACATAAAAGAAACCCTCTGCAACAGTGGTGGTAGGGGGGTGTGGGGAACAGGAGGTAGGTGACTAGTTTGGGGGAAGGCGACCACAAAGATGCAGGGAAGGCTGGTGACAGCAAAGGAGGCTATTAGAGAGGCATTGTGGTGGTCGAGAAGGATGCTAGAAGGTGGCTTGGTAGCAAGGCTAAGTTGTAGGATGATGTTCAGTAGGGACAGCTGCTAGAAGGAGAAGAGCAACACAAAAGACGACTAGGTAGGAGGACTGCAGCAACAAACTCTGCTAGGAGGGCAACAATAAATCAAGAGGGGTATGTGGGGATAAAGGTCGGGATAGTTACCACTTCGGAGCAGGATACAGCCAGAGCACACCTATAGTCGGATACAACCCTAGCTAAGAAAGAACACCTGGAGGCAGTAATATGAAATCTAAATTAATCAAAAGATAACCCTAAGTGAGCAAAACAACCAATATATAATAACTAAGAGCAAAAGATTCCGTAGTGTCCATATCCTCCAACTGATGTCTTCTTTCTAACCCTCCTCTGATATTGGATTACTAAGAGATAAAATAGGAAAGAGAGGCTTCCCTTTTGGGCAGCAACCCAAAAAGGAAGGGGAGTTGGTGTCAAGCAGAGCAGGCAAGTGTGACAAACAAAGGAACGAGTGTGGCTATAGCCTTAGACAGGTTGGCTAATTGGTTGACCCTGCTCTCCCTGGCTGAACCAACCGATTTAGCAGGCTTATAAAAGTGTTGCATCAATCTTCCAGGGTTAGGGGAGCTTCGACTTCATGCAACGAAGCTTATGGTTTTTCGTCTGCAGTCCTGTTAGCACCTGGATCCTAATGTCGACAACACTGTCTCCCAAAGCACGTGAGGAGCTTTCTCCCCTTGTGAGCATATATCTATATTAATTTGCTCCTCTGAGAGTCCACTACTGCACCGGCTTTAGCCTACGTGTCTCTCATATACTGTTGAATCCTCCCAAAATAATCTACGGTTGGCTCAATTCGGTTTGAGGTGAGGTTTAACTTGAACATCTCCGAAAAGTGGTGGTCATGGTGATAAGATATCGACTGTGATATCCCACAATGCTCTCTATCGTGATTGTCATGTGTCTAGAGCTTGTGCCTCAATCCTATCATCCTTTGTCGTCACCAACACAAATCCCACCGATGCTGCTCTATTGCTACGGGCACTAGGACCTCGTGCTCTGCCGAAGGTAGGACTGTGCGCTTCCCATTCTTGGTGAAGGAATAGGTGTTTTTGAGTCGTGTTAAGTTCAACGATCAAATTGTCAAAGTCTTCCCAACAAAAGGTGGCATGAGTCTATGGGGACCACATCACACTAAACCTGATCCTGCAACTGAATTCAAATTGAAAACTCCACTAGGCATCCCCGATCAATGCTGACATTGTTTTACTTCTGCAACAACATCAGAAAATATGGTTGGGAGTGTCTCCGAGTCAAGAGGTCTAACTTCTTAACCATCTATGTAGATGCCACGTTCTTAATGCTGCCTCCATCGATAATAAGGTTGCATATCTTTTCGTTCTCAGTGCAGCGGTGTAGAATAAGTTGTGGAAAAGCCACTGCGGATCCCTCGTATCCTCACTGTAGGACCAATCGAACAACAAATCTCTCTCCTTCATCTGGTTGCAAATGATACACCTCACCCTATTCCTCAGTGGTCTCCTCATCGCTAAACTCCACGGCACCCTGCTTCATGAAAGACGCAACTCAGCTTGTTGGGTAGCTGGAGGCATATCTGTGGCATTAGAAGCATTGCATGGCGAGAACTGTAATAGATTTGCTACTCTTATCAGGCTTCTTCTCACTGAGGGTGGCTCTAATCTTATCTGAACAAGTTTTTCAACTCCTTGAGTTGTGCTTCTATTGTGAGTGATTGCCTGACTGGGGATGGTTGTCTGCTCTATTTTTGTTGTCTTTTTACTTTCAGTGCTAAGGTCTAGACACCCCCAAGTGAACAATAAACTTACAGATGTACAACTTTTTTAATAATGTGCTTCAGGCCCTCAAGGTATCGGGCTACAATGTGCTCCTCTGACTTATTTCAGTTGTTAACTCCTCTATTAAAAGGTCTCGTTGTTGTAGGTTGTGAAGCCTCAAAAATATTTCTTGACAGTAATGAGGAGGAAAGTATTTCTTTTGCATTGTTTTCTTCATATTCTCTCACATAGTTATCTTATCGTCTTCTCTTTTTCTCTATCACTGTAAGCTCAACCACAAAAAGGCGCTCTTTTTCAACTTTATACCAGCTAGATTTAGATTTACCCACTTATACTCTAGCACATCATTATATTTATAGACTTGTTCAACAAATTGTAGCCAATCAATAAATTCATCTAGGTCCATACCTTTCTCAAACTCTGGTAGATCCACCTTGATTCCGTAGTGTCCATATCCTCCAACCGATGTCTTCTTTCTAACCCTCCTCTGATATTGGAT